TTTGCGTACTTACAGATACATTTATACGTGTAGGAGTTTAAATATATATATTTGTCAAGAAAAATGATGATTCAGTTAAACCCGTGTGATGTAGCATTTTTGAATGACATTGTCACTGACACAAAATAAAATGACGTCGCCAATTATGTTCAATAGCGTTTTAAATCAAGTTTTCATTGTCCAAAAATAATAAAATTTGTCATGAATGATTCGGAAAATAAAGAATTTTGAGATTCTTTGAAAAAATAAAATGTCACATTCGACCATTATGTTGGAAATGTCATGTCACGGCATTGAGACATTCATTTTGATAACATGCAATGTGTTCGGATTGTATTTTTGTTGTATTGTCTGAAATTGGTACAAATTCATATCTCTTACATGTATTGTTCTTTGTCTCAATTTTGCCACAATTTGCCACAAAATTAAAGATAATCCCAAAGATGTTTAATAGGTATTGGATATAGAATAGACACGTTATCATTGTCTTAAATCAGTGTTATCTAAACCATAATACATGCAAAGTCGTAATAACACAAGCTATGCATCATAAATATGCCATAACCAGTTTGAAAGACATAAACTGGCATAAAACTGCTGGCGTTTGAAAATTATATGTGATCAGGGAGTATGCAAGTAGTGCTACATTTCAAAACGGGCACAAATTTCTATTGGATTGAAAAACATCTGGGCGTGTTAAAAGTTAACCGTCAGTATTTAAAGGCCCAGTATGCCTCTTCTATTTTGTTTTCTCAAAAACTTTTCATTTTTGTTATCTTAATTTTACATTCTCATCTCATTTTCTATATAGAAGAATTATCTTTGCTCCATTTGCTTTGTTGGCAATATGTATAATTATAATGAATTAGTATTTTATATGGCAGTCAAAATAATACACTGTTTACATTTTGCTACATTATAGACATACACTGCACAATCAGCGCTTCTTGCTTCAGCTGACATACCCTAAATCAATTATTTAAACATTATTAAACACGTGTTTGACAATTTTAAATAATTTTATAAATATGAATTTCTGAGGCATAATGTGCCTTTAATCAAATATAATGCATTATTTAGATCTCCATCAAACTAAATATCTAGTAAATAACTAATCACACAGTTAATAGATAATAAATCTGTTTAATTGTTCGTGAATAATATCTTTTTGGAACTAATGCAACAATAGTGGGTTTTTGTACATTTTTGAACATAAAGAAAATATATGACGTGCAGGTTCTCGAATATTTATGTATTTTATAAACATATAAACTAATTTATAACATTTTTGTACTTTTCGTTAATTGAATTCCCTTCCACTGATATGCTATTTTAGGAATTAACTTTAGCTAATCAGAGAGTATAATTTTATCACATGACTTTCTTAACCAATCAAGATCCGGCATATTCATTCTTAGCCATTATTTTGCAAAGAATAACACGCTTATTCAATTTGTTTAACCGCCGCCTCCGTTTTCCTCTACCTCTTCTTTCGTTTACTCTCTTTTTGGCTGTTGGATTTTATTGTTTCTTATAATTTTGACACCCCTTATCTTTATTGTTAAGATTTATATATGAACTTGTTTAATTTTGAGATATAGACAATTATGTTATAAGAACTTATATTTACTTGGTTAAAGGCAGAGGCGGATTTCGTCGCCCAGATATGGAAAAGAACGTTATATGTAGTTTATATTTACGTCGTCCAGATATGGAAAAATACGTGATATGTAGTTATATTTACTTGTTTAAAGTTGTTATATTTACTTGTTTAAACTTTTATGGCAAATAAATAAATTTGCTCTTTTTCAATCTATAACCTTGTTACTTTTCTATTGTCCCATACGTAGTACACAGGGCCAAAGTTTGGTGGTTAAACAGATGAGATAAATTGAGGTGATATACTATGCTCATTATGTTTTGTTTTTTTTTAATTTAATGCAAAGACGTTATAACTAATTTGTGCAACACATGTGGTCTGACTATTTAGAACAGAAAAACTAACGAAATAAAAAAGGGGGTAAAATAACAACAAAAATTCTATGCTGTCTTTTGTTAGAAAATATAGAAGAATTCTTATTTAAATAACAATGAACATTTTTATTAAAACAGAGTATATTTTGAGCCAGTATGTATGCAGATATATATATATATACTTGGCAAACGCTATGATAATACGGCATTTGAATATAATGTTATTTAATATATTATTGATCGGTTTTACATAGCTTCTGTATTGCGTTATTTTAGTTGCACTTTTATATAAATATACATATCACATATCATTCTATTATACTTCTTTCAATGGCCGTGTTTATGTCGAAACAAAGCTATTGTAAATTTAGGTGCATAGGGTTTATATATTTAGTGCTTTATAACAGTATTCAACGCACACAAAATCAATTAATTTTATTGTATCTTTTATGTTTCTTAAATTCAAAGTGATGTCATCATGTGTCACAATACACATAGAGTAAGTTTCTTAACTTACTTAGCTGATTGCTTTTCTTACGTAAGGCACCGCTATAGTTGTTAACCCATAATTGTTGCCCCGTACTTTACTTCAGTGCTGTTATATTTTTTTCTGGTCCTTCGGATTCATTGAGCCAAGCGTTTTGAAGCATTGAGAATTGGGTACCACTAAAGCCAGTGCTAGGGGGCATGAGGATTTTTGCATTATCTGCAATGTACAGATTCAGTCAAACAGATTCTGCAATTTTCATGTAATTTTGCTGTTTTTAATGCTTCCGATGGATCACTTTTCCAGATATCTATACATCACATCAACAGGTGTTAAGAAAGGTGGCACAATGGTGACATGTTTGTTTTTATTTATCTCGTTGGCACGAAATAAATTGTAGTGACCACGTATTACTAAGTCGTGGGCACGAGATAGTTAAGCCGTAGCCAAGACATATTATGTCGTAGCCGCAAGTTGCTAAGTCGTGGTCACGAGATAATTAAGACGTAGGCACGAGATACTAGGTCGTGGGCACGAGATACTATGTCATGGTCACAAGATACTATGTCGTGGCCACGATTTACTAAGCCGTGGGCACGAGATAATTAAGTCGTGGGAACGAGTTACTATTTCGTAGCCACGAGATACTATGTTGTGGTCACAAGTTACTAAGTCGTGGACACGAAATAATTAAGTTTTGGGAACGAAATACTATGTCGTGGCCAAGAGTTACTAAGTCGTGGCCACGAGATAATTCAGTGGTGCGCACGAGATACTATGTCGTGGCTACGAGTTACTAAGTCGTGACCACGACTTACTAAGTCGTGGGAACAAGACCACTAGGTCGTGCGCACGAGATAATTTACCAATCAGTTTACACTTCCAAGGTCCATAAATCAGTCATTAATTTTGACTAAATAATAGCCCTTTGTGGTGACAATGATGTGATAAAATTGGTCTGTTTGTACGTACAATGCCCTGTTAACATTGTTTATAAGATAGCTAGAGAATAAATAAATCCTGGTTTTTTAGATTTGGTAGGGACATTGCCCATGGACAGTAGATAACCAATAAGGATGTTTGTTGTCAAAGGTCAAGGTAACCTTGATATTTCATGTAAAATCTTCGTCTGATGAATAATTTATAGGGAAAAAAGCCATGGTTTGTATAACCTAGAGAGATCATTGCACCTTTTCAGCAGATGACACCTATTAATTCTGAGGTCATTGGGTCAAAAATCAGGGTCACAATGACGCTAAAAGTAAAATCATCGCCCAATCAATAACTTGTATAATGGCGTTTTTACAGGCATGTTAAATAGGGGCATCCTTGTACTATAGCACATGTCTAGTCAATTAGGAAATTCATATAAATAGTGTAATCTGATTGGTAATTTCGTGTACACGACTTAATTATCTTGTTCCCGAGACTTAGTTACACCTGGCCACAAAATAGGATCTTGTGGCCACGACAATGTATCTCGTTCCCACGACCTAATTCTCTCGTGGCCACGACATAGTATCTCGTTCACACGACTACATGTATTTTATCTTGTGGCCACGACTTTGTTACTTGTAGCCACGACATAGTATCTGGTGGCCACGGTATATTATCTCATGCCCAAGACTTAATTATCTCGTGGCCACGACTTAGTATCTCGTGGCCACAATATAGTATCTCGTTCACACGACTTAACTATCTCGTGCCCACGACTTAGTAACTCGTGGCTACGACATAGTATCTCGTGCGCATGAGATAAATAAAAACCCACACACATGTCACCTTTGAGCCACCGTAGTTAAATGCTGTGTGGCAGCCGTAAAAAGATGCTCCGCACTTTTGACTGTCAAGTCGTGTTGTTAATCTATTTTCTCTGGTCCATGTGCGGGATATTGAGTCCCCAGCACTTATTCTAATTTATGCTCTTCACCAGAAATTCCTCAGGTTAACCGGCTCCACAAGCAAACCCAATGGCTAGCGATGAGGGTATCGTGTCTGAGTGGACATGTTAGACATACTCTTTTTCTTTTATTATCCCTCATGTACATACTCAATCAAACCGAGTGCGCAATTTTATGTAATTTGGCTGTGATGGGTCACTTTTTCAAGATATTCAAAAAGAGCAACAAAACGTATTATAGTAGGTATTAACAATTAAGAGACTATGGCAAAAAGACGAGTAAATTATGTTTAACGGAGATGAAGTGGTATCCTAATTGACAGCATAGTTATAATGGAAATATATAATTATTAACTCATTTGGGTACTTTTTAACAATACGTGATATAGATATTCAAATAAATTTACAATTATACTATGGCATACTTTTTTTTTGTCAAATCACAATCAGATTAAGATAGGACAAAAATAAAAACTAAATCAAGATACATAAAATCATTAATAACATCAATGAGCAAATCAGTTCAATGACAATGAAGATAATCGATGTACCAGTTGAGTAACGTGTAAATGAAGTTGTGTCCCCTGAATACTATATTTAGAACTTCCGCATTCCAAAGTGCTTGTTTCACCTGGATTAGTAAAACAGAAACAGGTAAAAAATATTTATCATTTTTGTTGTAAAATATTTTAAAAGTTTGTGTACACGTACGAAAGGAATATTCGCATATTGTCGAGTACACAAGTACACTTATTCAACTACAAACGCTGTAAGTCAAAATATATATAGATAAAACTTTAATTTACGACCGGAATATGAACGTACATGTATTCATTATTCAATATATGGACTAGATCTTTTAATCTGTCTAAGATAATCAAACATGTTAAACAAATTTGCATCAACTGATTAAATTGTGTAGATAAAAACAAAATATTGCATAGAATTTGATTGACAATCATGTGTTTCTTTTTAACTTGATTTTATTGAAAAGATGATGAAGTTCTAACAAGAATAATAGTTAATTATTTATGATATTAATAAATCTTTCGTTAAAAAAATATATACAAGTTTCTTTTCTATCTTTATTCCAGAAAGACCATGGAAGCATCAGGGAAATTTGCTGTTTCTGCAGAACAAGATTCCAATCTTTACTGCCTTCCATGCAACAGGTATAGTTTAAAGAGACCAGCTTTTGGTTATTGCCACGACTGTGAGGAACATCTTTGTGAGCGTTGTTGTAAGCACCACAGGAAACAAAAACCTTCCATGAACCACGTCCTGCTTGATAAAGGCAGAATGCCACAGCAATCGAAGACCGGGAATATAAACAATGATCAAATAACTGACTTTTGTACGAAACATAGCGACAAACTACTGGAATTCTATTGTGAAACACATGATTCTAATGCGTGTTATGTTTGTGTGACTCTGGACCACAAACACTGCAATGTAGACTATATTCCCGATGTGTCAGGAAATATGTCTGGTGAGCTTGATAACTTGATTGACAGAATGGAGACACTGATTCAAAAATGTAAATCTAATGTCAAAATTGCCGAGACTGTTACTGCAAATATAGAACAAATGTACAAGGCCGTTGTTGAAGATATACAAGTTTTCAGAAATGAAATTAACGAATGTCTGGATAAGATGGAAGCCGACATTATGAGGGACGCTAAATCCTACGCACTGACAGCAAAGTGTCAACAAGAAAATGTAAAAACAGAAAGCTTACATATCGCAGAGGAAATGTCAAGTACAATGTCAATTCTCAAGTCTCTGAGCGACGAAAACAAGCGGAATAAGCTGTTTATCGAGATAAAACATGTTGGACCTCAAGTGGAAAGACTATCAGATGAAGAGAAACAATTAGTTGAAGATAATAAAACAGATGGTGATGTCAAATTTATCCGAAACGAAATGATGCTTGGTCAGCTCAAAAATAACAACTCTCTAGGAACGATTTTTAAATACCGAAGACATTGTGCAGAAAGTACATTATGTGTCCAATATGAAAGATCAATGCAAGTGAAATACTCCTCTGATAATAAGCAATGCGATATCTCTGGAATGGTACTGATTTCTACAACAAATATGATCGTCGCTGACAAAAATAATAACAAAATTAAAATAATTAATATAGACACAGGAACGCTGGTATCAGAGATATCCCTTTCTTCATCACCACTCGATGTTATAAAACTGCTACAGAATAAATTTGCTGTTGCATTATGTGGTGAAAAGTGTATCCTGATAATGTCTTATACAGATACAAGTTTGTCTTTAGATCGTCGTATAGATGTCGGAGAATCGTGTTATTGTGTAGCTTATTGTCAGGACAAGTTGATTGTAGGCTGTAATTCTAATCCAGGTAAGCTGGTTATTCTGGATTTAGACGGAAACATGATACAGAGCTTTGATACTCCTGGATTGTTTCATGGACCAGAAAAGATTGTTATCAGTAGAGATGAAAAGTTTATGAATGTATCTGATTGCTACATTACAAGCAAGTTTATGAAGCTGGACTGGAAAGGTAATGTTGTACGAACATTTAAGGATCAGGGATATGAAAGACCAACAGGAATACAAGAGTTGGAAGATGGTACCTTGTTAGTATGCTACAGAGACAGTAGCAATATTGTTAGATTGTCGAGCAGCTTCAAGAAATGTGAAATTGTAGGTATCGAGAAAACTGATTTGTATAACCCACTGGCTGTATTATACAATGATAGAGATCATAAACTATACATTAGTTGTTCATCTGAAAAAATAAAATTTTATCCTCGTGATATAATCAAGATATTAAGCATAAAATGGACTTAGAGATATGTAACCTTTAAATTTATTACTTGGAGTGTAATCTAGTATTTATAGAAGACAGATAGTGTATCCATTACACTTGCTGTAAAGGAAAATATTTCCGAAAGTATGCTGACAGTGCCATTTGTGTAATAAATTGTATCATATCATTTTACAAATAAATATTTTAATTTACCACGAGTTTTCTTTAAATTGATAAAAAGCCCAGCAATTATTACATTTAAGACATCCTGGTAACTTTTGAGATAAACAAATCAGTAGAGTTTCTATTTGCTAGTATTTATGTATATTATTGTATTAGTTGAAACATCATTCAAACGGAACATCTAGAAACAGCGAATTACGATAAGTGCAAATGTGATAGAGAATAATAATAATTTTATCACTTTTTATGTTCGATATGGCATTGTATCCCTTTATCAAACAAGGTATATTCTTTATAGATAAAAAGTGCTTTATACAAGTGGATTATATCTATCAGGACTACTTTGTGATGAACAAACCGGCAAAATACAATTAAAATACCTTTCAAAAATGAATGCCCGTACAAGAAGTTTGTCCAAAATATAAATATAACCAAAAGCAAATTGTTAAACTTCAGCTTGTCTAAAATGTCGGTTTTGCACACAGTCTTATAAGTAAAAAGATATAAATGTAACACATATGGCATTCTCATAGTAATGTCTTAACTTTAATAAGATCAAAAGGTCACATTTTTCTAATTATAGGTATATTGAAAAAATTATTCCGCAAACGTTTTGCATTCAGTCTTACAGACTCAATCAAACCGAGTCTGCAGTTCTTATGTAATTTTGTTGTGATTAATGCTTCCGAGGGATCACTTTGTTTCCAGTTTATTTTTACCTTGAACATCAACAAATTGAAGTCATATACTGTTAATGACAAAGATATTAATCAGATATAAAAGATTGGAAACAAAGCGAGTTATTTGATTGAAAGAGCTATGATCCTGATATCTTAAAAATTTGAAACGAAATATTCAGAGAGAAAAAAATAATTTTGCTTTTCGCTATTTGAATGTTTGGTGATGTTACGAATACCCGACGAATATTCCATGTCCTCCTTCAAACGTCATTTATACGTCCACAAAAACACAAATAACAGTATTTATCATACACTGGATATGCTTTTTGTCCGAGTTAAATTTACTTATTGGTATGAACTTTTTATAAAAAAAAAACAAGTTTACATCTAGTATTTTCCTCCGTTTAATTCCTGATATATATGATTAAACACTTATTCAACAAAACACAAAATATAACTTTTGTAATTTAACTCATATAGCGGCAATCAATCGAATCAATTTCAACTTGAATTATATAATAATGTTTCAGATCGATTTCGTATACTAAATATTGCTATTTAACCAAAAAGGATCATGCATGGAGTTCTTAGGATATATCTTTTTTTTAAATCAGAGCAAACAAACAAAAACAAGATACCTTTTAATACATTCTAGTATATTGGATCATTTACAGAAATTAAAGTACAAATTTCTCTTCCTGTAAAACCGTGTAAAGTATAAAGATTATTATGATTATGTAATCATGTTTTTGGTAGAGGTCAATCTCTAGTGTTCATCAATGCATTATTGCAGTCAAAAACGGGCACCACAGTAGAGCCATTAACCTTCGTTAGGTAGCCAGATATGAAAGAATCCAAATTCCCTGACAATATTAAATCCTAAAGCGTTGAAGTGTCAGTGGTTTACAGTACACCACAGATCAAACTTGCTAGTAAATTAAGATTGAGTTGGGAAAAAGATTTGCTTAACTATCATTTATATTTATATGTATCATTAAATTAACATTGATCATTGTGTCAAAAGATGGCAGATTTACAATGTCATAAATAAAGTTTGAAACAAAAGGTATTGTAAATGGAGGATATTAAATGAGTGTAGGTTAAATACTTGAACAAGTTCAATAAAGTTAGTAATGAAGCTACATGAATATAATATTTTTTTATCACATATCCAAAAGCAGAACTGTTTACAGTTATAATAAATCATTTTTTAATTGTTGTGACCATAGTGTGACTCCAACATTTTTGCCCATCTTTACAATACAAATGACGTAACGTCAAAATATATGCAACAAGAGCCATGTTAGCATGGCCACCCCCCGCCGAATGTGTTTGCGGATTGGAAGAAAGTATATGTAGTAAAACAGGATAATTTTAAGTGGTCTTTTGGTATTGAAAACTGATGGCTAAAGTGATTACAGATTTGAAACTTATGTGAATACCAATTCCCTTATTTTCAGATCTCAATGTCAAATGTAAAGGTTATTGTGAGCCCCTTATTAAATATAGTGTATCTGGTCTAATGTTGATGTTTTTGCACTCCAATTAATATGCAAGTATAAAACCGCCGTAAAAAGTAATCTTTTTTAAATACATGTGTAATAAGCTTTTATCAAAATTTGGAGATGCGTGAATTTAAAGCAGCTGAAAACCAAAAATGATTACACGAAATTTGTTTTGAAAGGAAATTTATGATTTCACAGTATATATCATATACAGCACTAGTTATATTTTGAATTTCAAGTGAAAACTTTATAAAGTAAATACTTAATGAGTTACTGTCTGGACAAAAAATACATGAAAAATAACAAAGGGCGGTAACTGAGAATGAACGATACCTCTATCACTTTTTAGATAAGCTCCGGAAAAAAGTAAAAAAAAAATAACAAAGGGCAATAACTCAAAAAATACAAAGGGTACAGTTATCACTCTTTTGCACTGCACGATTTATCCACCTAGGAAGTTTCATGGTGATATCTCGAAGGCTTTTTGAGTTATGCTCTGGACAAAAATTAAGTTTGAAAAATAATAAAGTGCAATAACTGAAAAATCTCCTAAATTTGATCAATCTACCTATGAAGATTCCAGTTGATACCTCAAATACTTTTAAAGATATGCTCCGGACAAAAATGTGGGACGGAGGGCCGGACGGACGGATGGAAGTACGGACGGACGGAAGTTCTAACGGGAGAGTAATAATGTGGCTACTCTATTGTTCTCTCTATTGTACTTTTTAGCCACACAAAAGAAAATAGCCACATAAAAGCATTACGGAATGAATGAGATCAAAGAGAAAGAACAGTTACCTATTGGTCCTCTAGCCACATAATTACTGTCCTGTGAGTGCGGACGAATAGATGGACGGACAGAGAATATTACTATATCCCCCGGCGGGAGATAATAATGATATATAAAAATCTGGAAACATAGTGATCCCTCGGAAGCATTAATCACAACAAAATTACAATAGAATGGCTGACTCGGTTTGATTGAGTCTGTACATGAGGGATAATGAATATGTGCAACATCCCTCACGCACCCCTAGCACTGGCTTGAGCAGTACTCAATTCTCAACACTTAATAGTGCTGGCATCAATGATCCCGAAGGACCAGAAAAATATAGCAACACTGAAGTGAAGTACGGGGCAACTTTTTACAGCTGCCACACAGCACTTGACATCTGCTGTTGGGAAGTATAAAAATCTGGAAACAAAGTGATTCCTCGGAAGCATTAATCACAACAAAATTACAAGAGAATTGCAGACTCGGTTCGATTGAGTCTGTACATGAGGGATAATGAATATGTGCAACATCCGTCACGTCCCCTAGCACTGGCTTGAGCAGTACTCAATTCTCAACACTTAATAGTGCTGGAAGGACCAGAAAAAAGTTGTCAAAAAAGGGGCACAAACCCTTCAGTAGCTTTGTAGATACCATATTACACACACAAATTTAACCAATAATTTCTAGGCTGATAAGGGGGCTAAAATATGCAAAAAGCAACTCAGATTTATGGTACTTGTATCAATCATGTAGATAATCACAGAAAAGAAGCATATGAAGTTTTAATCCATTTGTGTCGTTGTCTTTTTGTAGGCTGAATTTATGTATTAATATGTACAGTTTTTGAAAGGTCATCAAATCACTAACAATACTAAACGGAGATCCTCTATGTATTCAACATTCAATCCGATTTCTACGAATACTGTCTTTGTTACATAGGTATAGGACACATAAAGTCTAAAATGTGCTCATATTTACATTGACTTGCTAAATCTGAGTTACAGAACTGCCGTGCTTTGAATAGGGAACAGTTCATTTAAGTTTAAGAGATTACAAGACAAAACACAACATTAAACTAACAACAGTATAGAGCAGGTGGTTGGCCTAACTATATACTGGTGACAAAGGCTATAAAAAGGCTATATGACCTCCATTCTTAACTGTGGGCAATATAATGTTGTAAATCTGTGTGAAGTAGCTCTTGTTCCATATGTGTAAAGCCCTTATCAATTGTATTGTAGAGATATCTCTTGTCTGGTCTAGTGTTCGAATCGGAGCATGTGGCACGGCCTCGTCTCGTTCTCTCGGTTCGGAAGGTGGATCCACTGATATTCCCTCACAAATATTTTTCAAAGATGACATAGTGAATATTCTTTAATGGTAAATATTTTATAGATGAACCTCTTATGAAACAGTTATATTAGATATATAGCAATGACAATGTTAAATAGCAATACACAAACGGTGATGAGAACTCGACGATAAGATACGTTGTTGTGTTATCGGTGAACACATATTGTTTGAACGCAAATTTGTTCAAGGTTAGAAGTCGCTAATACAAAATACAGTAATGAATAATAGTTACTGTCAATTTTTATTACTGACCATGAATTGGTGCAGGGCGGTTGATTTAAGAGATGTTGCACATAACGCTTTCAAAAGAGGCATCCTCTTTTTGTCATCAATTATAAATCAAATGTGTGATTATTAAAAACATGTGTCAATCAACACAAATGTATCAAACAATCAATAATCTTTTGTGTTATTATGCAACATTTTGTTTCATCAGTTTAACGGATCAGATAACATTATTAAAACGAAATTTCTGATACTTTAAAGTTTTACAGAAGGATTTATATACACCATGTTATACCATCTGCTAGAAATGCTGCGTCTGATATCAATGGTCTATATTTTGATATAATGAAACTAAGACATTGATCTTTTTTGTTATAATATGTATTTTTTATTACGATTTAAAGAATCAATACTTCGTTGTTAAAAATAATAATAATAATAAAAAATAATAAATAATATTATTATTATTATTAATATTATCATTATTATTATTATAATAATAATATTATTATTATTATTATTATAATAATAATAATAATAATAATAATAATAATAATAATAATAATAATAATAATAATAATAATAATGATAATAATAATAATAATGATAACAATAAACAACAATGAATACTAAAACATTTATTTTTAATTTTTAAAACGACTTATTATTTCGTTTAAACGAAATACAATTCATGGGCAACGAAAGAAATATGTATAATGCCACCATAGGTGCTCCGTTTTATCTTATCTACTTCATATTATTTTAATTTTTCATGAAGCCTTTTACTTAAACTCAGGAGAGCATAACACGTTTAATTTTCAAGTTCAGAACGTTCCATTACGCGGACTATCGGATCGATATCACCAATGTCTGTTAACAGAAGTTGTCACTGGCACACAGTAGAGTAGGCTAAGTATTGATTATGACGGGACGTGAACGTGAGCCTTGTTATTGGACTAAGAAACTTAATGTCATATATGTCATGTTTGTAAAGGAATGTAGCTTCAGAATGGGAATATGTTGTTCAGGTTGATAATTCTTGCTTTTCTGTTACATCACAGTTTACAGACATTTCCAGGTAAGTGAGGTTTATAAATACATTACAGGAGACGACATCAATTTTCTAATTCCACGCGTATTATCATTTGATGCATACCAAGTAATGATTGTTAACCAGATCACAGTTATAATGATCGTTTGCTAGGATTTACATTCATTTGATTGTATGTTTGACAATAAGGAATTGAGCGATATATTTCATTCATTGAAATGCCTGCCAGTGTAATGTTTCAATAACTCGTGTCACCAATAAAGAGTACAATTTATGTTATTTCCAACTGACCTGTTCGACATATGTCTGTTCGACATAAGGTATATAATGAATTTATAGAACATCAGAGTCTGATTTGTTGTTGTTATTTGTGTTGTTGCAGAGTTGACGAGCAGGAGAGTTTATATAACACAAAGAACATGTGGAACCAAGATCATGCTTCGGGAAACGGAATCTCTGTATTTAGATTATTTCGGAAACGTGTTAAATTTTAATGTATCTGATAGACTGGAACATGTTCCCTGCATAATTGATATAGAGACCTTGGAGGGTGCGGAACAAACATGTATTGAAACAGAGCAGACACATCTGAGGGAAGGATGTAGATTTAGATTTACGTGGCATCCAGGATCTAGAGATTTTATATTGTATGGTTTATCTGTAAGTAACTGTTTCATCACAGAATCGAAAAAAACAACACCCCAAAACATTTTGTTTCAGGTCATTTGAGTTTATAGATCCGTCGGAAGCATTTATTACAATAAAATTACATGTAAATTGCTGACTCGGTTTGATTGAGTCTGTACATGAGAGATAATGAAAAAATGCAACTTTCTTCACGCCCCCCAGCACCGGCTTCAGCGGTACTCAATTTTCAACACTACTTAAAAGTGCTGGAATTCATTATGAATGTAGGCTCAAACAAAATTTATAAGTGAGATATTAATAAATATTTCAGTATTTCTACTTTCGATAACGCTTGAATATTCTAATTTAGTATTTCCTCTCTAAATACAATCACGTATATGTTTGCATATCATTAAAATTTCAATGTAGATAATGGTGTAATATACGGTGTGGTAAGTTTAAAGCATGATAGTGCCACATTATAATGTTACATCTTAATTCTGTTTCAAACATTTTGGCTGTACCGGTGTGCTATGGTAACTTCTCTCCAAACACAATGGTACGATATGGGTCATACTGCATGATGTCAGTACTCGTATATTATATTTGTTTCAGACATACTGGTGTGATATGTTTGGTCGTGGATCTGTTTGTATGCCTGTATGGAGAAGTAGACTTATGTTAGATGCAGCACAAAGATCGTCTCTAAGGATTCATTTTTCTACAAAACGTAAAGGTATCAATCTTATATAAATCTCTTTACTATTTAAAATATTTGTAAAAAAAATAAATGGCGCATCGATTCAACATACTATGAATTGATATATGGCGTTGTAAGAAATAATCTTAAGATATGTATCAAAGTCAACACAATTTGTTTGTTCTATGCACTGTGTTTTTCAGTGGTTTTAATCTTTAAAAAATGTTTTCCCTATCTTCTTTAAGGTGCAATTTTTGAAAGGTATATTGTGTAGACAGGATGTTAATGTTCTATTGTATAAAGCGTTCACATGTATTTGTGAATGTTTGCTATTTTATTGAGTATTTCTAAAGTTTTTTTTTCACTAATATTTCAGCACCAATTAAGGCTATTCACGAGCAACCGAAACACATGAACGATAAGAAGCCATTTGTCTATGGTCTAAGAGGACGATTAAGTCTTGATTTCTACATAATATTAGCAGTTCTGGTATTCATTTGCGCATGCGCAGCAATAATGGGGGTTATGAGACACATGAAGAATAGAGGTTTGTTATAGTTATTTTATGTAAAACATTTAAGTCAGTAAATTGTAGTGAAAATACAAGACTTTCTCGAAAATAATTGTTCACTAACTATCTAAGTTTGATATAACGAATTTCGCGAAAATCTGTATTTATATTTGCGATTTAGTCCGAAATGTTAACATTGCGAAGTTTAGACCTCGCAAATATATCTGGTCTTACGGGTGACCTATGTAAAAAAATCCATGAAACATTCAAGATTACTTTCATTTAAATTAGTAGATACAATCATAGATACAATCATAGTTTAGTGTTTTTTAATTAAACTACTTATGAAGTCAATCGTCTTATTTTTTTGTTTCAGCAAACAGAAGACGTATTTTAAGTACACATATAGAGCTGGCTCAAATAAATCAAACACTTACACGAGCTCACAATACAGTCCTACATAATAATGCAGATAGTTCCTGTTTTAACCCGCATCCACCATCAAACCATAATCAACACAGATTTTATCCGCAAGTACAATCAGCCACAGGGACAAAATATGCCACTTCTTATTCGGGTAATATTTCACATTTTTATTTATTATTCCTTTTATTTGCCTATACAAGTGCCCTTCCTTGAAATTTAAATATTTTATTTTGTCATTTTCTATGACAAAATTCGCAAAATAGAGAAGTATTGATGGCATGTATTTTCTGTTTATCGCCATTGAGATACTCCGGAATAGTTGTTATGCGGAATTCGACAAACGTGGGTTTTTCCAAAATAATTCCCCCATACAAACACGCCATTACCGTTCTAGCATCACAATATACTACCGTACACAAACAAACTGTTACAGGTACAGTACAACTTCGTAAATATATCGAAAATAAGCACAACTCGTTTATTACTATATTGTAAATGGAAGTGCAAGCTAAAAGTTTGTTTGTATCCCCGGATTAGATGGGGGAAAAACATGCATTTTTTATTTCCGGATTACATCTATTTATTTAATAATAAACCAAGTTGCAACATAATTATTCAGTTTTAGTAAGTTAATATATAAGTATAATTTGTCCCTTACATCTATGTGCAGCACATTCACGCTAAAAAATGATGCATTTTGCGTAAGATATCATATATGATTATTGTTAATTTCCCATAGGCCACCGGGAGTTATTCATGCTTTTCATGCAAGTGTACCATTTGACTAAGGTACTGTTACAGGGTAACAGTATTTTCCTTTGGATGATATTTTCACTGTTACCCTCAAACCCATGCGTTATTTATATACTATCATAAGAATCATTTTACAGAAAGCAATGAGTAACAATAACATGCTTAATACCTAAGCTGCTGAATTTTATTCAAATTCCATTTTGGGATTGCTCTGTATCAATAGTTATTAACCGGAACTCGGTAATTGTGTTTTATTTCCAAGCTAATCCCTAAGTGTTATATGGTTTCACAATGTACTACCGTTCACAATGAATTTGTCAACCTGTAGCGCTTATTTTCAAATCTGTATTTTCGTATCCCATCAGATAAGCTGGGAAAACCCAGAATTTATTTAATTCCGGAGAAAGTTTACTTCGGGGATATCAAGATCAAGAGAAATCCATCGATATATTGCCTGCCTCAATACATATGGCAAAGGATAATCATTCGGTTTCAATAAAATAATTAATGCAAAATGAATAAAATTTAACGATTAGAAATTATTTCTTTAATTTATTCTATTACAGGATATATATGTGATATTGGACAACCGCCGCCATATTTAGAAAACCCACCACCTTATAACAACTGTACAAGATGATAATAAAATGATACACATAGCAATGTTGACTTGACTCTGTGAAGTTTTTATCATGGCATTTATTACATTGATTTATGTTGATAAGTGCATATCTTTATCAGACAACTCATCATTACATATTGAAATATAATGAAGAGAATAGAATATTTTACCTCTTACTGGTTTAAAAACATTAAACTGATAAACTTTGAATCGAATAGATTGTTTAAATATTAAAGTCTCTCTTACATTTGACTAAATCAATTTGGGACTATTTATAACAGATATGGTCTTTGGCATATCACTGCGCGCGGCATAAACTCTAGAGGTTCTTGACAATTATTGTTCTTTTGTTTCGTTTGGAATTTAAAGAAAGAAACGCATATAAGAATTGAAAACATGACAAAAAGAATACCATGCTAGTGTCTGATATTATAAAATTTATCAGGCTGGGCACGATAAACATAAAGGTTCGACAGAGCCTCGTACTTCTTTTTTTCTTAGCCTTGTCTGATAAAGTGTGTAATATCAAACACTAGCATGGTATTCTCTATGTAATTCCTTAACTGTCTTTGTTGCATATCAGGATGACCATCCTCCAAGGTGTTTATATAAGTTGATGTATTGTGTTTGTTGATTCTATTATATATTATGTTGAATTGTGTTCTGTGAATTTACTATGTATTTTATTCTAGGTTGTCATGTTTTTGTAGCCCACCAGAATCAAATGTTCATGACAACCAAATCTGGCTTTTGTCTGTCGTAGGCGTCAAGGTTTTATTCTCATTGATTTAAGCATTTATCACAAATACTTCAAGCTGAAACTAAGTTTTCTATAGCATTCATCTAATCAATTTTTAGCATTTGCATATCACAAGCTTGAAGTGTCTTCTTTTGCTATATTCGGTAGGTCTTCATTAGAATCATTCATTGGTATGCTTGGTTGAATACTTTTGTTCTTAGTATTGCTAAACTATTCTAGGTTGTTTATTACTTTTATACGGCTGTGATTAGACTAGTTAATGCCACAAAGTTATATGCTTTTTTGTAATAGTATGTGCTTAGATGATGTCGCCATAAGTTGTTATCATATAAATATTTTTGAATATTCAAATCCCAAATTCATGAAAATTGTTACCATGTGATTGCATGACTTTTGTATTTACTAAAAATTGCTTTATTTAAAATTACATATGAACTGCTGTTTATTACAACGTGCTTAGTTTCTATAGCTACGTGTTGCCATGTAATTTTATCGTGTGTTATTTATGATATGTGTTCATGTGATAACACGCAAAAGTTGATTACGTGTGTGGATTTAATGGTTCCATGTACCATATCAAAAGTAATCTTAGTTGATTTGTCTTCCTTCAATTGCTTATGTAGATACATCAATGTGTTGTCATAAAATGTTGCTTAAAAACAAAAATAAAATATAATTAAGATAAAACATAGTTTTTGTTGGATTAATATAAACCTATTACCTCATATATACATTATACATCTTTTAATGCCTTTTTCACCCCCCCCCCCCCTATTTGAGGCCTCAGATGATGCAAAAATGCGGTGCCAGTTGGGGATGTACTCCCCCCATTGCCAAGACAATTTTGGACAAGTGAGAGGCTTAAGATTTTGGACAGAATGGTCTTAAGATAGCGTGTAACCATCGCTGAGAAGCCTTTGACTCAATCCTTTGAGAAGTTGCAGGACTTTGAAATCAGGTTTGATGAAAAAAATCAACACAAAATAGTGGTTTTTGGCAATTTTGAGATGTCCCCTCGTTGCCATGGTAACAGAAAATTTAAGACTCAGCATGCCGTTACAGAGGCAATTGTCCAGTTAACATTTTTGCCAAGTTTGATCAGTATTGAAGTATTTTTCTAAAGTTTTATAGCAATATGAACTTGTAACGGCTTTTATATTTCACAAAATGCTCATGCGGTAATAGGTTAATTTTGCCAATTAAACATTATGTTTTAATAACATACAACCAATTTTTGCCATAGAATTTCAAACGATTTTACGCCTAACATTGAATTCAAATTTTGTAATATTTTGACACAGGTTTTACGTTGTTTTTTACGTTTTTTCATGACACATGTATTTTATAGTGTGTCTACTTAAATACAGGTCAGTTAATTGATCGGTTGAATGTCAGCAAATCCCGCTACTTTTGAATAGATGGCAGATGGTGTGTTATCAACAGAATAGTTAAATACTGTATATCGTAAACTAATTTTCAAATATAAAATAAAAATAGGGCATAACTATATAATCGTTATAATATAGACTATAAGTAAACATGTTGTGTTTCGCGGACGCTAACGCACAAGTAAATAGGGTAGCCTCTCTATTACAGAGACAGAACCTAAACAAGTAAGATGTTCATTCAAATCAGAAAAGGACTAATTCATTTCTGTTGTCAGAGTAAATTATAATGCTTGCAAATGACAGGAGAGATTATAAAAGTTACTTCCCTTTACTACTATATTCTAAACTTCCGCGTATCAAAGTTCATTTTAAAACTAGTAAACAGGAAGGAAAAGACTAGTTAGAATTGAAAATTATTTCATTACTATTTTTGTTTGTGGTTACGAAAGATGTGTATCGTAGATGATTTAAAAGAAGAGGATAATATGCGCTCATTTACAAATTAAAACATTATCGTGCAAATTCAGTTTGACTTAAGGTAACTAATATTCTTTTTTTTTTTGGGGGGGGGGGGGTGAAAACAGACTTACAGCACAATCATGCAGGTTTTAAATGTGCGATCCAGATAAGTAACAATGAAAAGTTTGCATTTATAGTTAAAAAGTATGCTGTATTGCCTGGCGGTTGCAAAAGAATATAGTTTGAAGATCGTAAAACAAAAATGGTATAAAAATCCAAAAGAAATATGAATACTTTTGTTATCTTTTAAAGGGAGGCTAGCGAAAGTAAACGATTATAATGATAGTAATGTTGCTAGAGTTTTATAAAAATGGAGTTTCCAAGTATCTATAATGCTGAATTTAAACGAAATTTGTGTTTCTGTTTACGTAGATAATTGTTATATAATTAGTTTGGAAAGAATTTATCTTAAAATATCTGACATATCAATACCCCAGAGTATACAAAATTGTACGCTTATAACTATTATAACCGTATATTTCAACAACTTTATTTGATATATTATTATTTATTCGATGAAACCCAAATTTGAATGGTTCTAATTATTAGATAATTAATTAATGTACCATGCAATTTATATATTTCTTATTCCAATATTCTGAATGTCCTCGAAAGCTATAAGAATTGACGACAAGGGGTATTATGTTTTTTATACTATTGCAACACCTAAATTACATTTTTTGCATGTATATAAATTATAAATAAAAACTTGTTTCTTTATATTTTCAATATCTTTGAGGACGCAGAACTCAAGTGTCAAAACGTGTCATTATAATTAAATAGATTGTTCTTAAGTTGATATAAGGTAGAAAAATGCAGAATCGTAGATGATTTAAAAGAAGAGGATAATATGCGCTCATTTACAAATTAAAACATTATCGTGCAAATTCAGTTTGACTTAAGGTAACTAATATTCTTTTTTTTTTTGGGGGGGGGGGGGATTGAAAACAGACTTACAGTACAATCATTAAGGTTTTAAATGTGCGATCCAGATAAGAAACAATGGAAAGTTTGCATTTATAGGTCAAAAGTATGCTGTATTGCCTGGCGGTTGCAAAAGAATATAATTTGAAGATCGTAAAACAAAAATGGTATTGAAATCCAAAAGAAATATGAATAATTTTGTTATCTTTTAAAGGGAGGCTAGCGAAAGTAAACAAATATCATTATAATAGTAATGTTGCTAAAAATTTTATAAAAATGGAGTTTCCAAGCATCTATAATGTTGTATTTGAACGAACGAAATTTGTGTTTCTGAATACGTAGACAATTGTTAAATAATTAGTTTGGAAAGAATTTATCTTAAAATATCTGAAATATTAAAACCCCATAGCATACAAAATTGTACGCTTATAACTCTTATAACCGTATATTTCAACAAATTTATTTGTCATCAATTAGATGTACGATCGAATTAAATTATTATTATTTATTCGATGAAACCCAAATATGAATAGTTTTAATTATTAGATAATTAATTAATGTACCATATAATTTATATATTTCCTTATTCCCATATTCTGAATGTCCTCGAGGGCTATAATAATTGAAAAGAGGAATTATATATTTATACTATTGCAACACCTAAATTACATTTTTGCATATATATAATTTATGAATAAAAACTTTTTTCCTATATTTTCATTATCTTCATAACATTATCCGTGAGGACGCAGAACTCAAGTGTCAAACCGTGTCATTATAATTAAATAGATTGTAGAAGAAATGCAGACTATAGGCATTGATACGGAGTAAGCTGTGAATTTATATCAATTTTTATAATCATTGTTTTGCAGAAAAACAATGTAAAATGAATTGCTGTTTAATGCATTTGAATGATAAAATTTTTGAAAGGAAAATTTGACAAAATAAAACGAAAATACTATTTACAGTCAGCAACCTAAACGTTACGAATTACGAAATCAGGAAATAATTATATAAGGAAATAAACAATATAAGGAAATAATAATATGCCATTTATCAATGATATTAACAGAGATTTTATTTTTAGTCAAATAAAACTGATAACGTAAAAATATTTCGACACTGTTTATGTGGATAAAGTGCGCTATCAAGTTAATTTGTTTACGTGGCCCGCTTTTGTTTGAAAATTCAAGCTATTTTCTGAAAATAAACCATTTTATCTAATACTTTGTATAGCCCAATTACAATTTTTTAAAAATAAGGCATGATCTCAACAGTTATAGATTGACATACAACAAATATTTAACATCTGATTTTGTAAATTCGTTAATAAACTTTCAAACAAATTTAAGGTTTAATTTCCGAAATAAAATTGTTATATTTTATTGGTTTTCTTAAAAAAGTAAATATTCTAACGGTTTCGAGCTAGACATATTTATTGTCGCAAACTTAATTTATTAACGGGAACAAACTTACTTTGTAATAATAGTCAATAATTCATTTTGTTAATTATCTTCCTCTATATGTACATGTAAAAAGGGGTTTAAATATCGTGTTTCTTTTATGTTTATTTCCTGTCAGATAGACTATGGAAGTACCAGGAGAGCTAGCTGGCCCCTCTGATAAAGATTTGAACTATTTCTGCATTCCATGCGGCATAGATGGTTTTAAGGAACCAGCATATGGGTATTGTCAAAACTGCGAGGAACATCTTTGTGAAAGTTGTTATAATCATCACAGGAAGCAAAGACCGTCAAGAAAACATGTTTTACTTGACAAGGAGAGAATGCTACAGAGACCGAAGACCGGGAACATAACAAAAGACCGAATAACTGATTTCTGCACAAAACATGTCGACAAACCACAGGAATTCTATTGTAATAAACATAGTTCTTCTGCATGCTCTGTTTGTGTTACCCTAGAACACAAACATTGCAAAGTTGACTATATTCCAGATGTTTCAGACAGTGTGTCTGATGAACTAGAAAATTTGATGAATCGGATGGAGAAACTTATTAAAAAATGTAATTCTAATGTCAAAAGTGCTGGAACTGAGACAATAAACGCCGAACAAATGTACAAGGAAGTTGCTGAAGCTATACATCAATTCAGAGAAGAAATAAACGAATGTTTAGACCGGATGGAAGCCGACATTATGGCAGACGCTGAAACTTACGCACGGAGAGAAAAATCTAAACAAGAAAATGTAAAAGAGGAAAGTTTACATATCGCAGAGGAATTGAAAAGTACAATGTCAATGCTCAAAGGCCTTAGTGACAAAAATAATCTCAATCAGCTGTTTATTGAGATGAAAAATGCTGAATCTCATGTATTAAGGCTTTCAAGTAATGAGCAACAAATGGCAAGGGACAGTAAATCAGTCGGTGATGTAAAATTTATCCGAAACCAAAATATTTTTGATCAGTTGAGAAAGGAAAACGTTCTCGGGACGTTGTCTACATTGAGGAACACTTCTGCAGATTATGCAGCATGTGCGAAAACAGTAAAATCAATTAACATGCGATCCTTTATAGATAAGGAACCATGCAGTATTGCAGGAATGGTAATGATTTCATCCACAAAAATGATCCTCGCTGAAATCAGCAATAGCAAAATTAAAATGATTGATGTAGACAATGAAAAGTTAGTATCAGAAATATCCGTATCATCAGCACCACGCGATATTATAAAGATTCCACAAAATAAACTTGCGGTTGCCTTAGTTAATGCAAAACATATCCAGATAATGTCTTTCAATGACACAAGTATGTCTTTAGATCGTTGTTTTGATGTTGGAAAGGAGAGTTATTGTATAGCTTATTGTCAGGGCAAACTAGTAGTAGGCTGTAACTACAACCCGTTCCCGGTCCCATTATCCTTCTTCTCAGGACAGCTGGTTATTCTGGATTTAGACGGAAATATAATACACGTATTTGATTCTCTTAAACTGTATGGTGGACCTGAAAAAATTACTATCAGCCGTGATGAGAAGTTCATATATGTATCTGATTATAATATATTGTCACAGATGAGCAAGTTTCTGAAAGTGGATTGGCAAGGAAATACTGTACAAAGATTCCAAGATAACGCATATAAAAGACCTGTAGGAATACAGGAGCTCGAAGATGGTACCTTGTTGGTGTGTTACATAGATAGCCACAATATTGTAAGATTGACGAGCAACTTCAAGAAATGTAGGATTGAAGGATTAGAGAACACAGAAATACTCCATCCACACGCTGTTACATACAGTCATAGTGATAGTAAATTATACATTAGTTGTTCATCCAAAAAAGGTTTCTTTGGTCCTCGCGATTTACTCAAGGTGTTTAGTATTACATGGGTGTAACAACACATCATTTTGCATATTATATGTATATATGAAAACAGAAAGCAGGAAACACTCTACATATTGTACAGGAAAATACATTTTATTATAATGCAATAGTCAGCAAAACTAGAAGGTCTCCTTTCGTACGATGAAGTCTCTTTTACATTAAAAAATATGAAAAATGATAAAAGTCCTGGATGTGATGGATTTACAGTTAACTTTTTTAAAACCTTTTGGAACAGAATTGGACATTTTGTTGTGAAAGCTATTAATTATGCATATAATGCTAATTCATTTTCTAGAAATCAGAAATTAGGAACCATAACATGTATTCCGAAAGAAAACAGGCCAAAACAATTTCTAAAAAATTGGAGACCAATTACCTTATTAAATGTAGTATATAAATTAGCTTCAGGTAGTATAGCAAATAGATTAAAAACTGTTTTAGATATTTTAGTGTCAAAAGATCAAACTGGATTTGTTAAGAATAGATATATTGGTGAAAATACTAGATTATTATATGATATAATGAAATTTACTGAAGATAATAATATGCCAGGTTTAATTATGATGATAGATTTTGAAAAAGCTTTTGATACTCTGTCTTTTACATTTATTGAGAAATGTCTTTCGTTATTCTGTTTTGGTCCTATGTTTAGGAAGTGGATATCTCTGTTTTTATATAATACTGAAACTTGTGTCATATTAAATGGTTTTTTATCCAATTTTTTTAAAGTTAGACGAGGTTGTAGGCAAGGCGATCCAATTTCACCGTATATTTTCATTTTATGTGCAGAGATATTAGCAGTAAAAATAAGACAATGTAAGGATGTTAAAGGCATAATTATAGATGGGGAAGAATATAAAATTAATCAATTTGCAGATGATACATCACTTCTATTAGATGGTTCAGAAAAATCTCTCAATACTGCTTTAAAGTTATTAAGTAAGTTTACAGAAATTTCTGGATTAAAGATAAATTTTGACAAAACTAAGGTTATTTGGATAGGCTCTCTTAAATATAGTACTAGGTCAATTAAGACAAGATGGAAGTTAACTTGGGGTGATACTCAGTTCAAATTGTTAGGTTTAATATTTGATGTTGATTTAGAAAAAATGATTGACTTAAATTTTAATGAAAAACTTCAAAACGTAAAAAATAGTATCATTCACTGGAAAAAGAGAATATTAACTCCAATAGGAAAAATTGCTGTTATTAAGTCAATATTGCTTCCTTTATTTACTCATTGTTTCACAAGCCTACCAACACCAAATACTGTATTTTTGAAAACACTTAATGACTTATTTTATGATTTCATTTGGGAAGGCAATGCAAAAATAAAACAATCAGTACTTATTAAAACATACATAGAAGGTGGTTTAAACATGGTTGATATTTATAGTTATATACATAGTTTAAAGATAAAATGGTTTAAAAGATATGTTAGTAATAGCAAAAGTAAATGTTATAAGCTAGTAAACACATGGTTTAATATTGATAACATTTTTAACACTGGAAAGATGTTTTGTAATTTGATTATTAGTAAAATAACAAATTCTTTCTGGATTGATGTTTTAAAAGCTTATATGGTGTTTGTAGATAAACTTTGTATAGATAATATAGAGCAAGTATTACATATGCCACTTTTTTACAATCACAACTTTTTAGCAGGAAATAGATATATTTACATTCAGACATTATATAATAAAGGAATCAGATTTGTAAAAGATATTATAAATGAACAGGGTAACTTTGTAGATTTGATATATTTAGAACAGGTCACAGGTAAACCTGTGAACTTTTTACAGTATCATAGTTTAAAACAGGCAATAAAAATGTACATGCAAAAGTTAAATATTTCTATTAGTAACAATTTGCTTAATGTTCAATATCCTATAATAAATTGTTATGTTAAACCTATTTTAACTATGAATAACAATAAGAAATATGTTTATGAAATTATAGCTAAAAATTCAGACATACCTACAAGTCAAGAAAGGTGGAACACATGTTTTAAAGATAATAACATTAATTGGCAGTTAATATATAGTTATGTTATCCTTAATTGCTTAAACTACACTTAATATGTGAAACAAAACTTTACCTCGTAACAGATTGTTTAATTGTTTATTAATAAGTAGTAATTTTTATTGGTAAAATATTTTTGGAAAATAGATGGGTTTATTGTATGCATGTTGTTTATATTTATATGCAAAATATATACTGTAGATGTATTTGACAATATTTACATGAATATAATTATTTTGCAACATGTATATTGTATATTAACAATGTAAGGTATGATGGAGGATGGCCCCGAACCCCTTATACCTATTACGGGGTAAATAAACGGGGTTACCCAGATGGGGCCTCAAGAAAAAAAAAAAAAAAAAAAAAAACATTATATTATAATGCGTTTTAGTAGTTAATCAATTAGATCATCATTTTATTTTATATGCAAATGTAAATGATCTTCGATAAATGAATGGACGTTAATGAAAACATCATATCATTGCCATCGTCTACATTAGATAGGTATACATTCGTTATCATGCCCTTACATTGACTTCTGTTGATAAAATATGGTGAACAAGATCAACAAGGAAAGTTCAATGAAAGTGCATACCTGATATAATTAGCTTTATCAATCACCTTCAGCTTTATTAAACACCTCATCACTACATATTAAAATAAAATGAAGTGAATGGAATACATTACCTCTGTATACATGTAGTTTGAAAATATTAAACGTGATAAGATTTGAATCGAATACATGTTTAGATTTTAAAGTCTCTCTTACATTTGACTAGAAACATGTGCATGTGGAACTATTTCTTAAAAATATAACCCTTTGCATATTAATTACTGGGCGGGGCATGAACTCGAGAGGTTCTTGATATTATAAAATATATCAGACTAGGCACGAAAAAAAATGAAGGGCGTCTTAACCTTGCCTGATACATTTTGTAATATCAGGCACTAGCATGGTATTTTCTGTTTATCAATCACTTTGAATATTACTTGTCATGTTAGTCATAATGCAATTTTGAATGTTATGATTTATCATTTTATTAATTATTATATCATTTCACGTATATCAGACATTACTGCTTATATGACTTCATATAGATATAGTAGTTTGTTACATAACAAATTTATTATTACAATGTATATAATGTATATTGCACAAAAATAAAATATTGTAAATAAATTAGCCAAACGATTTTGTAAATTAACAAGACCATCAATAGTATCAGCTGTTCTGATTCAAGTGTTTTTTTTTAAATTTTCTGAAAATACCGTAATATTACGCAGCGCCAGTTTCCCATCACTTGTATAAGTCTGTTATGCATAAAATATAAAACTGCATTAAAGTCTAGATATTAACTTACCTTTTTGTGCAAATCATGTAAAAATGACCCATAACCCACCTGGAAAACTAGCTAAAGTTTAATATTACATACACTGCATTGCCTCTTATCAAACTTTTTGTGAGCCCTGTAATAGAATACCTAAATCTGCGACAGAGAATGGGGTAATTTGAGTCTCAATTGCCAACCAGGGTGACGAGGTTTTATGTTGTATGGTTTGCCAGCACTATTTAGTGTTGGGAATTGAGTACCGCTCAAGCCTGTACTGGGGGCGGGGGGTGAGGGATGTCGCAATTATTCATTGTCATTCATGTACAGACTCAATCAAACCGAGTCTGCAATTTTCATGTAATTTTGTTGTGATTAATGCTTCCGAGGGATCACTTTGTTTCCAGATTTTTATCTGTAAGAAGTTGTTTCCTCAAAGAATTTAAAAATTATCTTATTTCTGTTAATTTTGTGTCATGCAGGTGCATCGATGAAAGACAACTGTTAGCATGAAACATCTGCGACAACAGGTTCAAAAATGAGGAGAGTTTTGTTTTACAATGTTGTTAATCATTAATTCTTGTGATAGACTGGTTTGATTTTGGGAAAATGTTCATCCTCACGGCATTTTTTGGTACAAGCAGGTAGTTGGGTTTACTTACCTATTTCGAGTACGCTGAATTCATTTTTTGCTCTACCACGGCTGTATTTTTAGTCCTTGACCTTTAAAAATCAATTTCAAAATGACCGCCATTGAATTTTTTAATTTTACTTTTATTTTCCCATTGGCGAGATACATACATATTTTTTGGCATTTTAATTTAAGACTTTGTTAATTTTAGTATGCTGAAGTGTGTACGAGAAGAATAGATGCAAAAACAACAAAATTTATTGCGGCAGCCATCTTGGATTTCAAAATGGCTGACAATGTCCTATTTATACACTGTGTTATAATTAAAGTTAACAAGCACGAGAAGACATTTTACCAGGCATGTTTTCTTTTATTAGAAGTACAGTGATACTTATTAAGACTTCAAAGCGCAGATTTTGAAAAACATCCATTAAAACTACAAACTTTATGGTGCAAAAAGGTCACAGTTTATACCCTAATACAACGTGAATGAGAGTCGTATTTGCGTTCACTTTGACATCAAGTTGTTATTTTTATAATACTAAGAATACAATGCATGTTCTTTAAATTATTTCGATGTTTTTTAAATTGGATTTGTATCGCTCTGAGGGGGGACCTGCTCAAATGTCTGTTCGTCTGTCTATCTGTCCGAGCGTCCTTTTATGATAGTTAGGGGTATTTGCGATCACAATTAGGCGTTTAGATTAATTCCGTATACCCCCAACCTATAGGATGAATCATTGGTTATGGGAGGCAAAAGGCTCAACAAAAGAAACAAACGTTAAGATAACAGGCATTAATGTGTGGCACATTGATACAATGTCATAAGAAAGACCCAGTTTGAAGCTCGACTAATCAAGTTAGACTTGAAAGTGCTTGAAAAAAGATGTGCATTTAAGTATTCTGTCATTAAGAGATGGATTTTGAAAAAAAGAGTTGAGCATAAATATACGGCCTATAAAGGATTGGGAAATGATATACTTTATATTATTACTTAATCTTCAAATAGGGATACCATGAAAATTGTTTGGTTATTTCTTATGTCAATGTCAATTGCGCAAGAACATGTACTGGGACATGAAATGATTGAGAGCCAATTCAACAGTCCAAAGATCAGGGTCATGTCAATCAAGAAACACAAGTTGGTAAAAGTTCATTGGTGGGTGAATCCGATCAAACATTTTTCATGCACGACATGATATTTAAAAAAAGTCTTAGTATTTCCAAAAGTAATATAGGAATCGCCATCCAGGCTGGCATTCGAAATATATATATATATATTTTTTTTTCATGAAATAGACTACTTTCCTGAACAAAAAGAGTTAATGTTTCTTATTGTAAGAGAAATATTCCATATGGCGTTTATCCCATTGGAAGCCCCTACATACTAGTGCCGAGCTTCGTGCATGAGGATAATATTTCATTTGCTTATATAGGTAACCCGACAAGAACATGGTGGTTGAGGCCCCTGTGTTAGGACTTTTGTCGTTTATTTTGTTATCATGTGGTATTAAATTATCTGTTTTGATTGACCTAGAGCAGGCGGTGTACGGGTAAAAATATTTAAATCTGTCATTTATTAGATGGATATTGGCATAACTGGGCATACATTTGTGGCACATTAGGACTACTTGTAATGCTTAAACATTAGGTAGATAGCTTGATAGATCAATTTAGAACATTGATGGTTGTGTCAGTATCTTTGTCATTTAATCATGGATGCTTTTTAAAAATATCAAGGTTTACTGAAGATATAAATAAATGCTTCTTGATGTTTCTAATGTTTGTAAAACTTGTAAGACTACAGTAACCATGCCTTCAATGTAAAAAATGGAAAACAAGAATAACAAGGAAAGTGGCACACCCTTGTTTATCTTTGTTTTACATAATTGTCAGGATAGTGCAAAAATAGTTGGTACACATTTTAGTGACTAAAATTACACTAAGAAATACCAAAGTAATATCATTGAGTGATAGTAGAAAAAATATGGATTAAATAGCTATATTGTGGCAAATGACATCAAAATATGTTATATCAAAATGGAATAAGATACTCATCAATTTCTTGAAAGATAACCAATACAAGAACATAATAAGTATGAAGATTTGAAAATATCTTAGTCACTTGAATGATTTTAAAACATTGGGTAGAATAAGGCGCAGCGTCCTTGGCAAAGTAACATAATTATAATGAAGACGTTGATATTAACTATGACAATGAATGAATAAATATCAATGAATTAAGACAAAACGCAAACAAATCTCGTATTATCAGTTAAATTAATAAAATTTAAAGACATAGGCTTCGATGGCATATGTTACAAGATTTAGTAGCAAAAACCCAAAATGCTCTATAAAATTATTATGTGTTAATAAAAAAGGGTAAACAGCGGTAAATCGTCAATATATTAATTGCAAAATTGGTATCAATTATCTGTCTAATCTTCTATGCATGTACCATCATCAAATACCCGCGGTAGACCTATAATGTTTTACTCTATATTATTCATTGTATCATAGTTTGTGGACCGTTCTGTTGAAAAATTGTCAGAGTTAAATCGTATACATATACATGCACAGTGCGGTAACTGGAGTGCAGGTATCAGTTACCCGCACTCCAGATAATGCCCGTTGATTGGTTCATTTTTGCTGGGGTTTACTTATTGTGACGGCAGAGAAAGGGAAAGGGGCAGAAATATCATATTCAAATGCTCGTTCATTGGTTAATTTTTTATTTTCATATTATGACAACAGGGAACGTGCTGTCATGTTTGACTATGATACAAAAGAGAAAGAACACCAAAACACTCGGCAATCTGGTTTATACTCGTACAAATCAGATAGCCTCGTGTTTCGGTGCTCTTTCTATTATTTAACTGTAAGACAGTGCATGCTCGTAGACTATTTATGGTTCATGTTTGCGATACTTTTTTCAAAGTGAAAGATAATAAAGATTAAAATGACTTTACCATTTATTTGTGTTTATTTCAATTAATATAGATGATCTATTTTTAACCATGTCTAGGCATGTTTAAAGTTTGATTGATAAATACGACCCTTTATAAAGTAGCTATATCAATACAACAATAAAAAATATCGTATAAACACATCTGCGGATATTTCTAAATTCCAAATTTTTCAATTTCCCCTTTGATATATGAATTTTGCGTAGGCCGGTGTAATAGGGTGCTTGGACGGTACCTTGCAATTTCAATAATGTTTATGTACAAGCTCAATCAAATCGAGCCTACAACATTTTAATTTTGCCGTTTTGATCGTTTTTAGTGATTCTGTTGTTTTTTTATTTTAAATCGGGTCGTACAATACAAATTGTTGCAAAGACATGCGGACCCAGAGACATATATAGTCGCTGACCTTTGAAGATGACAGGCAATATTTAAAATATTTACATACTGACCTTGACTCTTGGCATTCAAAATATAAAATGACCTAGTGTCCATAAAGGTTTACACAAAACTATTCTATCAAAATAAAAAAACTTAAACATCTAATGGTAAATTAAAATTTGCAGGTTTTCTGTGAGACATTTGGGATCTCAGTTACATGATATACATTAATTGTCCAAAAGGAATGACCTGTGATAATTTGAAGTAATGATGTAAATTAAAGTGTGCAGTATACCTACACAGTGTGTACAATTCGACATGACATGTTGCTTATATCATTTTACAATGTTTGATACTCATGCCTATAGAGGATCCATTTGTTTAAAAGCACTTTACTTATATTTGTTAAAAAAGGTGTCCATTTTGAAATCAAAGATGGCCGACACAGCAGTCAAATTGTAAAGCATGTATAATTATCAGCCAATTATTCCTAAAATTAATTGAAACTTTATTCCATGTAGATAAACGAACATACGATACGCTATGGACAGAAAATTTTAATTTTTTAAGTAGATGATAAAGGACTCAGCGTACCCGAATTATGTAAAAACGATTGACTACCTGCTTGTACTAAAAAATGCCGTTAGACTCTTAACGGAGGGTCTTTTCTGAAAATCAAACCCGTCTAGTATGATGTCTGACATTAAAATAAAATGATGAAGTACATGCAGTGTTCTAAAGATAATGAGAAAGATGTTATACATGTATATACATAAAACAATCTCAATGAATGCAGAATACGTACGTAGAATGTACAATATAACATGTTATGCAGTTAAAACAATTCAATACTAAATATTTTGATTTTATCCGCACAGAAGCCGTGTGCAGAAGAGCAACTAATATACAATTTTTGATCTCTTTTACAGTATGTAACAGCCTG